GGGGGGGGGGATGGGGGGAGGGATGGTGTGTTCGTGTGTATGGGCCATGCGCGTTGCGCCGCACACGGAAAGGCGTCTGTGGCTGTGACGTATATGTGTGCCAAGTGGGAATAGGTTGCACTGTGTTTGTATTCTGCCGCGGACAGGTAGTCTGGTGCGTGCGCGTTGGTGTATGGCGTGTGGCATGCCTGCCTCGGTGGTGTGGTTTCTGCAGTGTGCGTGTGTGTCGTGTGGTGTGACTCGATGCTGCCTCTTTTCTGTGCGATGAGTCCCCAGCTGCTTGCAGTAGTGATCCCGCCTGCACTTTGCTCTCTTGCCTGCGTGAATGGATGCCCGGTAGACTCGAGATCAGACGATCTGGTCGCTATAAAAAAGAAATGCAAGCTTAGAGTGAGGCTCGCAATGCGGAGGGAGAAAGGTCCACAATTGGTGAGAGCACGATGCCTGTTGTAATCATCAGCAACCCTGCAGCGCTTGGTAAGAGGAGATGGAATGTATTGTGTGCTTGTTGCGCCCGTGCATGTGTCTTGTTCGCGTCAGACACGCTCAAGGCGACAAAGAAGCTCGTCGTCATCGACTTCACCGCGTCATGGTGCGCACGCACCCACGCAGAGAGAGGCTGCAAGTGGCCGGCCAGATCTGCCTCATACATAACATTGGGTGTGTCATTTCATTCGCCACACACAGGTGCGGCCCCTGCCAGCGGATAGCTCCCGAGTACGAGAAGCTTTCCAACGAGTTCACCAACGACACGGCATTCTGCAAAGTCGACGTTGATGAGAACAAGGTGACAGACAGAGAGGGGTGGGGCAGTCATATCGCTCACTTTTGCTGCACATGTGTGTGTGTGTGTGTGTGATGTGTGGGTGCAGGAGACGGCCATGGCGCACAAGGTGGAGGCGATGCCGACCTTTGTCTTCGTCAAGGGCGGTGCTGAGGTGGAACGGCTGAAAGGCGCAGACCCTGCTACACTGCGGAAGGTGCGTGCCGACCACACTCGCACAGACTGCCAACTGTGTGTGTGTGTGTGTGTGTTTCAGTTGGTCGAGAAGTACGCGCCTCAGCAGCTGTTCACTGGTGGCGGCCACACTTTATCTGAGCCCTCGCACGCCCCGCCGCCCCCCGCACCCAACACCGCCAAAGACCACGACTACAGCCCACCCATCAACACTGACAAGCCCACCACCAAGGTCGGTGTGTGCCCACTCACACACTTGGCAGCCAACGGTGCCCTTTGTGATGACACTGACTGCAGGTGACGCTGCGGCTGCACACGGGGGAGCAGGTGAAGCTGACCTTCAACAGCTCCATGGCCGTCAAGGAGCTGTACGCTGCGGCCTCCAAGGCGAGCAACATCGGTGTGGCCGACTTCCGGCTGTTCTCGTCGGCGGCTTTCCCTCCCAAGCCGCTGGACGACCATGCGCAGTCGCTTGAGGAGGCGGGGGTGATGGAGTGCCTCGTCACGCAGAAACTCAAATGAAGGACAGACAGACAGACAGACAGACGGGGAGATAATTCATTCGTCCATGCGAGGGAGGTGAGGCTGCTGTCTGGTGTGTCTGAGGCTGGAGAGGGGATGCCTGGAGTATGTTATGTGTGTCGGTTGACTGACGATGGGGCCTCCCTCATAACATACGCTCTGACTGAGTCGTGTCGATGGAGCCGGGGGCGGTGCGGTGCCTTTATGTATGTACTTACTCGTGGTGGCGGCTGGCCTGGCCGGCTGGCATCTTGGGTCGGTGTGTCTGTCGGTGTGGTGCCCCCCTGAATGCCTTTTTGAAGTAAAGACCATTGATAGATACCAGGTTGGTGATGCTTTGGATTGCATGCGTTCGTCAGTGCCTCTTCGGGCCGATGGCCGTGAGGCCGGCCACGATCTCATCATAACGGAGGTAGTGGCCCTCTTCACGGTAGCGGGCACCACGAGACACAGACGAATGCCATGCGAGTGCGAGAGAGGCACGTATGATTGTATGCGACAGAGGTGTGCTGACTGAAATGCCGAGAGGGACAAGATGGAAGTACTTTGACGTGTCGTATCAATTGCGGAATGTCACCAATACAACCCTGCCTGCCGAGAACACACGAGGAACAAGCCAAATCCTGCCTCACTCATCGCTGCGGCAGGCCTGACCGGCTGGCTGCACCAAGGAAGCATCGACGGATGTGCACAGTCATACACACACATACAACACACAGGAAAAGGGCGCAGCCCTTTTCCTGTCATGCACAAGACAGACATATGGGCACACACGTGAGTTGACGCAAACGCGAGCAGACGGCCACGCCACATTGAGCTAATTCGAGGCTAATTAAACGCACCAAAATGCATCACGTGCATGTCTCAGACTGCCTAACGCGAGGCCACGGATTCTAATTAATTACAGGCGAAAACGCGCCGATGGACACGCTCACACGCACACTGGTGGCTCATTGGTCTTGTCGGCTGATGGTGCGGCGGATGAGCGATTTGATGACCAAGTCGAATATGCCCCCGAAGACGGCCTTTCGGGCCGCGTCGATGAGTGCCGCCTCCACTCGCCCCTCATCAGACCCATCGCTGTCTTGGGGCGGCTCCACCAGCAGTGACATGCTCATGCCTGCTATGCTATACTGCACACACAGCACAGACATTGACATGTGCTCTATGTGTTGCGTGTGGACTGACCTCTTTGATTTTGTCGATGGCGTGTTGCAGTTTGCCGCCGTGCCGCTCTTTCTTGTCGGCCGCCATGACGCCCATCTCACGCTCGATGGCCGACGCCAAACGAGCTGAGTCCCACGACTGACTTGGAGCCAAGCCTCCCTCACCCCTCACACCATCATCGCCAGAACCAGGTGGCAACTGGACGGCCGCCCGCCGCTTGAGTGCCCGCAGGAAGCGCCGCAGCTGCACTATGATGACGAGTGCGATGCCCTTTGGGAGGCCGAGGTCACGGCCGATGTCCTCACCCGCCGCCACACTGTCGATGTCATCCAACATGTCCAGCAAACTCACCGCTGTGCCGATATCCAATGCCTGCACACACAGAAGAGAAGACGACACACATACATATAACTCAGCCTGCCCTCACATGTGTCTGTGTGGTGTGCTGACCATGATGTTGTCGGCTAAGTGTCGCATGTCGGGTGATGGGTGGGCCTTGAGCAGCTCCACCAACTGAACCTTCGTCAGCTCGTCAAACGGAATCATCTCGCCCTCCCTCTCGCCATCCCCGTCACCACGTCCAGCGTCCCGTCGTCCGTGCGTCGCCCCGTCCACCATGCGAAGGGCAGCGGCCGGATCTCGTGCATCGGGCGTCACATCAGGGGTGTGCGGGCCATTGGCTGGCGAGAGGGACTGCGTCTGCGGGACCACATCGGCCGCGTCTCGACTCATGGGCTGCGGACGTGACAGTGGCTGCGGCACATTGGGCGTCTGTTGGCCACTCGGCAGCTGCTCGTCATCTGCCGCCTTGAGCGGCTCGAACATTGCTGGTGTGGGGTGCTGGTGACCGCGGTGGTGGTCGAGGTCTCTGACGAATCGCTTGGCCGCCTCCTTGATGTCCTCGCCGTCACGCTGCCCCACCATGGCCGGAAGCTCATGGCGCACAAACGAGTCGATGGACGCAAAACTCAGAGCTGGGGCGGCCGCCAGCATCGCCCCAATGTTGTGACCCACTTGACTGTACAGGCGACAGAGGGCCATCCGCTGGGCGTGTGTCATGGGCTGCTGGTCGTCAATGCCGTCAATGTCCATCTCCTGCTGGCGGCATGCCCAAGCGGCATCGATGGCCGCCCCCATGGCCTCCCTGGTGGCCGCTGAGAGGGGCACCGACTGCACTGGGGTGCCAGGCAGGACCACCTCGACGGCCAGCTGGGTCAGGGCAGACCCACTCCTGAACCGCAGACAGAGAGGCGTGTCGGGATGGGCTCGGCCGAGTGCCTCCAGCTGCTGGTAGAAGTGGCGAATCAGATGCCCCCTCTGCACCGGGGACACACGAGTGGCCGTGCGATGCTCCCGCAGCCCACCAGGTGGGCCCTCCCGCAGCCAACTGGGGGCCTCGATGTCCCCCGGCGAGGGATTGCACTCGAATCGGTCGTCTCTGCGGGGCCGCGGTCGGTGGGTGTCACGGCAAGCCGAAGGGTGCAGGGGCACACCGCCCCCCACACCACCGTCACGCAGCTGAGGGGTCTGTCGCTGTTTGGCGGGCAGAGGAGGATCGTCGCCATCGTCGGCACTTCTCCAGTCAGCCGGGTCGCCATGCCTCTTGGCCCCTCCCTCTGACGTGTGCAATCGCTCCATCTTCTGTCTGTGTGCGATGGCGGCGTCTTTGGCCTCCTCGAAGCCAAGCTGCTTGACGGAGAAGGACTTGTACCTCCTGCTGTCGCCCACCTGCCAGTCGGCCTGCCATGCGTTGACTTTCTTGTGGTAGCTGACGCCCTTGACGCCGCTCTGATGTTCCAATCGCTCCCGGACTGTGGCCTGCCCTGTGCGCTCCATCTCACGACGATGCTGCTCGGCCAACGCCTGAAGGCAAGGGAGAGAGAAGGGAAGCGAATGGTCCATAAGCACCTTTGCTTAAGGCCGTGTAGGTCTCGCGCACCTTTGCTTTGTCGAAGCCGTGCTCTCGGACTGTGAAGAGCTTTTTCTTCTGCGTGGTGTCATCCTTCGCATACCATGTCGACCTCCACGCCCGGGCCCTCGCATCCCAGGAGACGCCCACGACCGTTGACTGATGCTCGGCACCTTTGCGGATGGCGGCCGTCTTGCCCTTGGTGGCCTCGGCTGCATTGCCGGCCTTTCGTCTCTGTCGCCTCTCGACGGTAGATGGGCTGCTGCTGGCGGATGGG